CCATGCTCGAGTCCAACGTGAGGCTGGATGCCGTCCGCACCTGCGTCACACCTTACTTCATCTTTCCACATCTTGCTACGTTTGCAACCGGCTCGCTGCTCCTCCCCAACTCTTCACTTTGATGCTTGTTCTTGCCGCATGTCGATACACCCCCTCCCTCCTCCTGTCTCACATGCGCGCACCGCATTGCGTGCGTGTGCATTCGCATCACAACAACTGCACAGCTTGCAGACTACATTGTGTCGCAGAACGTCGACGGCCTGCACCTCAAGTCCGGCGTGCCGGAGAACCAGATCTCGGAGTTGCATGGCAACTCGTTCAAGGAGACCTGCGTTGACTGCGAGCGCACCTATCTGCGGGAGCACAGCGTGCGGGGAAGCAAAGGTGTGAATGTGTGCGTGTGTGTGGATGTGTGTGCGTGTGTGTATGTGTGTATGTGTATGTGGGTGTGGGTGTGTGTGCGTGTGCGTGTGCGTGTTGCATCGCAAACGGCAGCCATCCTTGCCTGCGTTTGTCTCATGCGCCCTTTGCATTTCCCGCTGAACAATGCCCACCTATACACCATACATGTCCTCCATTGTCACCACCACCAACGTATCACCAGGTCCGCACTTCAAGGGTGTGCGCGACCATCGCTCCGAGAGCGGCATCAGCCACATCACGGGGCGCGCGTGCGAGCACTGCAGGAAGAAAGGCAAGCAGGGCATGCTGCGAGACAGCATCATCCACTTTGGTGAAAGCTTACCCGAGCGCGCCCTCGCAACGGCAGAGCACGTGAGTACGCGCCCCTGTTGCACCTGCACCAGCACCTCGCACCTTATGACTGCACTTGCGTTAAACACACACGCACACACACTGAACTCACTATACACACACACACACACTGAACTCACTACACACACACACACACACATCGACGTGCTTGACAGATGTGCCGACGCGCTGGTGTTGTGCTGTGCATTGGCAGCTCGCTGCACGTCACGCCCGCCGCTGATCTCCCAATCTTGTGCGAGCAAGTTGGCGGACACATGCACATTGTCAACCTGCAGCAGACTGGCCGCGATGACGAGGTTCGTTGATATGTGTGCGGCTTGTATGTGTGTGTGTGTGTCTGTGAAATACATCAATGTGTCATCGCCATTGCGTTCTTCGTATTTCATACAATCGTGCGTATGGCCTCTTCTGTGTTCTGCAGGCTCTGCAAACTGGCGGCGTTGTGGTGCACGAGAAGTGCGATAAGGTAAGCACAATACATAGTTGTCACCCATCACAACGCTTGCCACACACACTCACACACACACACACTCTCTCTCACCCACACACACACACCCGCGCCTTCCCCCCCCCCCACCCGCCGGGCCTCACACCCCTCAGGTGATGTTCCTGGTTGCGAGTCATCTCGGTCTGGATTGCGGACCGCCGCCAGCATCTGACGCCGACGACGGCGGCGATGCTGATGGCCATGGTGATGTGAAGGCAGTGCACAAGAAGTCGTCGAAGAAGAAGCGAGAGGGTGGCGGCACACGTAGCTCACCCGCGAAAGCGAGGGGCAAGGCTGGTGCCAAGGCCGGCAGTACTGCCAAGAGCAAGGCTACAGCGACCAACACGACATCCTCCAAGACAACCGCATCTTCACCTTCATCAGCAGCAACAAAAACATCAACATCAACGTCAGCGTCAACGTCAACGTCAGCGTCAACAAGCAGCAAGCCGGCACACACCGGCAGTGATGGCGACAGGAGCGTGGGCAAGGCGGGGGAGCAGTTTGCTGGCTTCTTCTCCGACCTCGGCCTGCCCACGCGCATGTCACAGCTGCCACCCTACCTCACCCTCAACTGGGCCTTCCCTGACAACAGCAGTTGTGATGGTGATGGTGATGGTGATGATGGGGTGACGTTTACGGTTGCCTGCCCGCCCGATTATCAGTTGCCACTTGGCGATGTTGTGGCATCTGTGGTGATCACCGCTAAAGGCGAGCGGGCGATGAAGGTTGAGGCCACGTGCGATCCAGGTGGGCGCACGCAGTTTGCTGACTCTTTGAAGCGGTCTCATTCTTTGTGTGTGTGTGTGTGTGTGTGTGTGTGTGTGTGTGTGTGTGTGTGTGTGTGTGTGTGTGATCATGGTTGTTGTGGATGCCTACTCACAAGTGTGCTGACATCATCTATGGCCATTATCATGTGCGTTTGGCAGACACGTCGTCACTGTCGCTGAATCTCCCATCGAATTGGTGGCAGAATGGCGAAACGAACGCCGAGCTGGTTGTGCATCTCGATCCCGCACTGCAAATCAACGAGGTGAGCACGTGGAGGTGATGGCAACACGCGCGTTCGCGCGTGTTCATAGACGCCGTTGTGACAGCCAACACACATGCGTCCATTTCCCCAATTGTTGTCGTTGTCTCACGACTGTCCGACCTCTGTCCGACCTCTTTTCCCACTCTCACGTCGCTCTCACGATGTGCCACATGCAGCCGCCGCCGTATGCGCCGTTCCGCGTGTCG